ATGCAGATGCGATCCCGGGTGGACGGTCCCAGGAGGAGGCCTCAGCAGTCCTGCGGAAAGCACTTCCTCCTCGTCCGCGCCCTCCAACCACAGAACGGGGTGCGGCAGGCCGGGCCTCGGCCCCGGTGGGTTTACTCCACCCCGAGGCCGCGCAGTTATCCCGATGGTCCTGTCTTCGCGATGCCGAGTGCTTACCAGATCACACGTCTTCACTCGGCGTCCACACTGCCCACCATCACCACCGTCATTCAGGGCACTTGGAGTCTCACGAGTGCCAGAAAGGCTCGGTCCCTCTGCTGGAGCAACTGCATCTCTGGCAACGGGGCTCCCGGTCCTGACTTATGGGCCGGGGGATCCCATGGTGCGGGGGGACAGCTGGCCTTGTATCAGCAGGAGGCAGGGGTTCCGGATCCAGCCACTTCACTGGAACATTCTAACATTTGGAATGCCCCTTCTTGGAAATGTGAGTGTTACTTTCTTGAACAAACAGGGGCAAAGATGAAGCTTTGGTATTGTTGCCTTTTTGTGGCAAAATACATTAAAATACAAGTTTCAATGTTTTTTTAATTACCGTTGTTTTTTTTTTTTTTTAACTCTAGTTCTTTGGGGAGGAAAAGAACCCAAAACAAATGTCATTCTTGCTGGACTGAGTCCGAGAGGCACACTTTGAAGAAGCCAGTGTGGCGGGCAGGTTGGTCATCTTGTGAGGTCACCATCCCAGCCAGACTGGCATTGACGCCTCACCCGGGGACGCTGAGAGCGGGGACAGCACACCCGGGCCACTCAGCTTGTCAGCCAGGACACAGCACAGTGCCTGGCTCTGGCGCCTTGGGGGCTGTAGACCCCAGAGTTTCCACCACAGCGGAGACGGCAAATATCCCCATCACTCTTTTCAGAAATGCATTCCTCCTGGTCAGCTCATACAGCTCCGAGTTTTGTGTGGAAAACACGGACCCCATCCCAGCACTCAGTGCCTCTCCCTCATTCTGGGCTCGGAGGGATTCGAAGCTGACAGGTTCTCTCAGGTCTCAGGAGCAGAGTGGGAGGAACACAGAGGAGCTGCTTGCTGGGTGCCCTGCAGCTCCGTCAGCCACTCGATGGGGGGGGTTCATCCTCCCGCCAGGTCAGGACGGAGGGATTAATTTTATATGTCAATGTAGCTGGGCCACCCCAACCAGATGTTTAGTCCAGTGCCGGTCTAGATGTGGCCGAGAAGGTATGTTTTTAGATAGCATTCAGATTTAAATCAGAAGACTTCGAGGAAAGCAGATTACCCTCCATGATGTGGGTGGGCCTTGTCTAATCCCTCAAAGGCTCTCGTGGGAAAAACCTGTGGCACCTGAAGAGGGAGGAATTCTGCCTTCGGGGCTAAGGCTGCAACATCATGGACTGTGCACGTGCGTACGTGTGTGTATTTACACACACGTGTCTGCACGCGCACAACGTCCTGTGAGTTCCGTCTCTCCAGAGACCCCAACTAATTCCGTGACTCCTGGTTTCAAGGACTCATGGAGAATGGTCCCAGGTGTACAAGCGTGTAAGCACATGAACTACTTGTCCATGACATCTCCCTTGTCATCTTATTCTTGGCACACTTTCCATGACCGTAAGATCGCATGTGTTTTTTCTCGGATTGGGAGTTTTGTTTTTGTTTCTGTTGGCGAGAGGGGGTTACCGGGGGCGGGGGGGAGCTCCCTAACATGGCCAAAGAAAGTCATGAAAGTCATGAGAACAGTGCCACAGGCCAGCTGTGGCCTCAGCAGCTTCCAGAGGCCCAGGATACATTTGGTTCCCATTCGGGACCACAGACTTTCTGGAGGCCACAGTGGAAATCATGGGCAACTTCCCTGAAGAAACCCACATTCCCACATGGGTCTCCTCGCCTGTTTGGGCCTCTGGAGAACATCCATCCGCCCTGAAACAAGAAGCCTCATTTCTGGGAGAAAAGCTCTGCGGACCAGAACCTCAGTGAGACAAGGAGCAACATCCAAGCAGCACGACCTCACCGAGAGCCAGCCGGCGCTCCAGAACGCCCAGTACGCACTGGGGGCCAGCAGAAAGGACGGGGCAGCCTCAGGTCTGGAAGATGGGCTCACTGACTTGTGATGTGAAGGAGCCAGAGATTCTCAGCTCTCACACCCAGAAGATACTTCAGGACCACCTGGTCTCCCGGGCCCTCGCCAGACGCTGACTTTGCACTAAGATGCACGAAGGCTCTGGGCAGTACCTTGCGTCCCACCTGCAGTCTTCGGGTCTTTACACGCAGAGTGAGTGACCACACTCCCGGGACTGCCCGCAACCCCGCAAATGTCCTCTCGAGGTAGAGTAGGGCTGTGGGGTCTGTCGTCACACGAAAGGATGGGCCGGAGGAAAAAAGACACGAAGAGCTGAAAAATCACCCAAAGCAAAGCCTCTCGACATAGGCATGAGGCTCAAGAGCCCCGCACTTCCCGGAGTGGCCAGCGGCAGACCCTGAATGCACATTACACGCTGGAGAAGTTCCCACAGACCAGGAGGGTCTGCAGCAGGAGGTGGGTATGGGAACAGACAGGAACCCAGAGACCTCGTCACTCCCCACGGTTGTCCCACCCGCTCAATTTGGCCATTTCATTCTTCCATTCCTCCAGAGGCCCACGTTCCCTTCTCCTAGAGCCCATTTTCTCACATCGCAATCTTGTCCAAGATGTTTAAAGACAGCAAATGGACCTGTCTACAAATCTATCCAGTTTGGGAAGGAAGGAAAGAAAGGGAAGGAGAGAGGCAAGCGAGGGGCGGGGCCGGGGAGGAAGAAAAGAGAAGGAGCATCTGGAAAAATCTGTTTTATGAACACTGTTCTGCTTGTCTAATTTCACACTGCTCGTCTGGCTGCTGTCATTTCTGTCGTACACAGAACTCTCAACACCATCTTTAATCCTTCTTTCCTAGTGTTTAAAATGAATCCGGGTCAGGAAAGAGGGGAAGAGGTCAATCTAGCTGTCGGGGCGGTGGGGGCGGGGGGACGTCAGCACGTCGGCTGCCCCGGGAGAAGTCAGAGGTCCGCGGCTTCACACAAGACAACTTGGAATTACGAGCGGAGGCTTCACACAGATCAGAGGGCGTACGTGGAGCCTCTTGGGTGCATTTCAAGCCCTCGGTCCTCCAGCCGGTGCCAGAAGCCTGACCATAAGCAGAGAGTGGAGGTAATCTCCAAACCCTCTCCTCCCTGCAGTCCTTCACTCCTCTGTCCCAGGCCCCCGTCCCTAATGCAGTTGGCTTTCCTTTCTTCTTCTAGAGCCACAGCTTGGGACTCGAACAAAGGCAAGACTCAACCCTGTGCTGACTGCCCTGAATTCTGGATACGCTGGTCAGATCTCAACACCAGGAGGGTAGGAATCAGAAAGGACAAGTGTCCGGGGGATGAGGGCTGCGAGAAGAGGTGACCCTGATTGTTGTCTGAGAAGAGAAGCCGATCGGTGGCACCTCCCCCACCGCACAGCACTTTCTTCTTCCCGGAGAAGACGAGGCGGCGTCCTCCCAGCTGTGGGCTGACTGTGCTTACTGGAGCCCGAGTAGACACAACCTGGAGAGCGAACTCCACCATCTGCACCGGCTACGTAATGTGCGGAGCCCACGATAAAATGCCAACGCGCAGTGTCTGGTGCAACAAGTGTTAAGAATTTCAAGTCAGCATTAAGCGGAGTGTGGCTCCTTCCGAGCCTGGGACCCTGCGCAAGGGTCAAGGTGGTTTCATGGAGCCAGTCCTGCCTGCCATTCTGGCATCACGGGGTCACTTTCCAGACCTACCCCAGATGTGCTTAGATCCCGTCACCTGATTTGAAAGCTGCTCGAGCCCTGGGGATACCGTCCTCGTCCCCTCACTCTGCAGGTGCTCCTAAACAACGTGGGTAAGTGAGCCACCCAAGCTGTCACCCCGTGTGCTCAGAGGTTTGGGGGTGAAGGAAGACAAGGGGACCTGAATCAAGGTGGCTCCAGACACAGCAGCCAAGTTGCCCTTCCCAGCGAAAGGCTCTCCTGCACCACCACCTCCTCCGTGAGAATCCCAAGGAGGGCACCAGCAGGAGTCCCGCCAGGTCCCAGGAACACCCTGAGGAATGGAACGCGGAGACATCGGGTCCAAGCCCCAGAGTTTAGAGCTCGGTATGGCAAAGCCCAGAAGGCGGGTAACCAGAGCAAGGTCAGACCCTCTTTACTGTCAGTGAGGTGGTTGAGGTGATGGGTGCGCAGAGGGAGGGTCCCAGATGGCGGAAGTGAATGGGGGACACTGTCACACCCTCCCATGGCAGAGCACGCTCCACCCAGTGGCCTGGGAAGAAGGCTGGCTTTACAGCAAGGCCGACCCCGGGACTCCCGGTGGCACTGGCCTCAGTCCTACAGTAGGAGTAAGAACTCTTGGGGGCTGGAAGGAAGGAGGAGAGGTCATCTGGGAGAGAAGGCAGCAGTGGGCGGCAGTGGGCGATGGTCAGCCTGTGGCAGGACCAGCCGGCACTCCAGCCCCGGGAGGAAAGGAGCTTGGGCCCCGTGGAATTCCACCCTTCCTGGGAAGTTTCCACCAGGCTCTGTCGAGCTCACCCCTGCACTCTCTGGACAGCAGGCTGCTTTCAAGGAATGTGAAACTCCTTGGAGCCTGGCAGGGTCGGGTTTGGGGGTGGGGGGCACTCATCCCCTGGGGCAGGAGATAACTTTCCTCCATCGAAGAAGGACTTCTCAGGTGTCTAATCCCTCTGGCCAGCTCATTTCTCTTGGCGGGAGGGCTCCCCCTTCCACTGGATCCGAAACTCTGAGATTGGGTTTCTCCCAGGCCAGGCCCTCAGAGGGGATGGGAGGCACAGCCCTGACCGGCAGACCAGGCCTGCGCTGGCAGGAGGCCCCAGCAAGAGCTCGAGGCTGTGTGAGGGTGGGCTCCAGGCTGACCCGGCAGGGATGGGATGAGGTCCTCTGGGACAGAGATGCAGGCCAGCCCTCCCAATCACTTCCCGCCACCCAGGGCTGGGCTGACTCACTCAGGAGTGTTGATCCAGATGATGTCCAGGTGGCAATAGTAGACACACTCCTTGTCCTTGTAGGTGAAGCACGTACAGCGCCTCGCGCGGCGGTGCACAGGACCCCCCTTGGATGCCTGCTCCCCAAACCGACCCGGTTTCTGCTCCTGCCCAGGGCGTCTGGGAATCAAACCCTGCACTGCAGTAGTGGCCACAATCTCCTCGATGTCCCCCTCAGATCTGGCTGCGGTGGGGGGCCCAGGCATGCCGCTCTTGCCAGCGTCCCCAGGCTGGGGGCGAGGCACCAGTCCTGCAAAAGGCAGATTGAAGGGCTCCTAAGCTCCTGAGTGTGCAGAAATCCCCCACACACATACACCAACCATTCCCAAAAACCTGGGGGAAGGGGACAAGGAAACTTTCTGCAAAGATTGCAAGCTAGTTGCACTTTCTGTAAAGTCTCCAAACTCTGCCATGCGTTCTGAAAAGTTTGCAAAGCTATGTGCACAGTTTCAGAAAAGACTGCAAGTTATGTGCATACTTGGTGAAATGCTTGCAAGCTATTTTCACTTTCTGCAAAGTCTGCAAGGTATTTGCACCCGTTGAGAGCTTTGCAATCATTTTTGCACAGTTTCTGAAGAGTTTGCAAACTTTTTTGAAAAGTTCCCAACTTCATGAAAAATTCAACAAGTCCACCCGGCCAGCCCCATCTCTGGCTTGACGGTGGACTGCAACCCCCAGAGCCCCCCGGGGTAGCTGGCACTCCGTTTCTGCCCCCCCCCCCCCCCGCCTCCGCCCGCCACCAGCCCACCCCTAGGCGCCTCCAGGGGTGGCGAGCCCAGGCAAGAGGTTGCTCCCCACAATGCACCCTTCCCCGCGCCCCCATCTCAGGGTCCTTTTGTGTGCGCTCGCGCCCGGAGTGGCGCGCCGCCCCGCCCGCTTACCTGCGGCGGAGGTCACTGTGAGCCCGAAGAGGAGCCACAGCCCCGGCTCCATGAACCCCGATCGGGCACCGGGCCGGGAGCACGGACGCCTGCAGCCGAGAAAGGGCGCTGGGCCCGGCACAGCGGCCTCGCCCTCCAGCTGCGGGGTCCGAGGCCGGCGCTCGCTCGCTGCGTCCCGGGCCCGGCCGGGAGTTGGCGGCGGCGGTCACACACTTGAGAGCGCGCTGCCCATCCCTGCGCAGGGCCGGCTGTGGGCTCGGGCTTTTCTGGCGCCCGCACCACCCCCTCGCCTCCCCGCCCCCCGGAGGGGCTGGGGCCGCCGCGCGGGGCCTTTGAACCCGTGGCGCGCCAGGGGTCGCCTCCCGGCGCTCGCGCTTGGGGAGCGGGGAGGCAGCTCAGCGGCCGGGGGCGCACTCAGCTGGCCGGGGGCGGGGGCAGCGCGCCAGTGGCGGTGGGTGCGGTGGGTGCGGTGGGGCGCGGTGGGGGGACAGCTGCCAGAAGGCCACGCGCGCGCACACACACACATACACACATGTGCACACGCACACGCGCGCTCACACACACCCCACTGCCTTGCAGCCTGGGACCTGCAGCTCCCGCCCCTGCGAGCGACAAAAGGCTGAACTGGGAAGCTGTTACCTTCTATCTCAGCGGCTGTGGGAAAGCGACATTTCTCAATGTTCACCTAATGACACCTTACCCTTGCACAGATGGTCCTGCCAAGGCCCTGGGCGTACTTTACACTCGTGACTCACGGGCACGGGCAGTGGCTCCCTGCCTCTCCCAGGAGCTCAGAGCCAGTGGGTGTGGGCCCGTGGCAGGGGAGCAAAGTCAACCCAGAAAGAGGTTAGCGGTCTGGGCCACCCTGACTCGCTCACAGCCCCCTGCACAGGGTGGGGGCGGCCTTGAGAGGCTCCTGGCATCCCCTCCATGGCCTTCAAGGTGGTCCAGGTGCCATGGGTGGAGGGCTCTCCCGGCTCACCTGAGTCTTGTCTGCTGCCCCAAGCAACATAGAAGACAGGATTGTCTTATTTTGTTTTTACCAAGACGGTCTGTGCTGGGCCCCAAGGAAGCATTCTGGAAAGATTCATGGGTAAGTGGATGAATGAATCCGGGGATTTGGCCCTGGGCTGCTGACCTCTGAGAACCCCTGGAGGGCCCCCAGAGGGCCTCCCTTACCAGAGTCCTCAGATCAGAGGGACAGACACAGAGGTGGTGCCCCAGACGGCACTGGGCAGTCCCCCCAGGGCTGGTTGGAGGGCCCAGCCTGTGCTGGGTGGGAGCTGGCCTCCCCAGGGAACCGGCTTCCCCAGGGAACTACGGGCACCGCCAGGTCGTGGGGCAGCAGACAGGCCTGCAGCCCGGAGCTGCTCCACTCCCAGAGCCCTGGAGGTTGACTTCACACATGTCCCCAAATCCGTAGACTTCTCCCAGAGAAAGCAGCAGAAGTCATAAAAGGGCCACAACCTCCACCTGGCTCCCTCCATGGGGACGCTGGTCTTCTGAGCCCAGCCGCCACGCTGGGAGGAATCCCGGGGAGCCTGCGTGCAGAGACTGCACAGAGCGACCCACACAGAATCCAACTGCTCCCAGCACGGCCGGAGCCCGCTGCTGACACATAAACGCACGGGCCCCGGGGTGACTGGAGCCCCAGCCTCCCAGACTTGCCGCTGAGGACTGGGTGGCCCCCTAGGCTGACCCACAGAAACCACGAGGGCCACCGATGGAGGTTTGCCCCAGTCAGTGCTGAGTAATTCGTTCCAACGCCATGCGAGGCAAAAAGCAGGCAAGCCCCCAGAGCGGGGCTGATGGGGAAGTTTCCCCAGCCTGCCCCCCCTTCCACCCTGCCCAGTCCTTGAGTCCAGGTCAAGGTGTGGGATGTGGAAGACATTATCCTTTAGGGTGACTGTCACCAAGCAGGATGTAAGCTCTGTAAGGGGGCGCTGCTTCATTTTTTTGTGCTTCATGCCTTGAAAATTAGAAAAAGCCCCAAGACTAGGATTATCTTCTGCTCCTGCTGGGCTGGAACTTGGATGACTTTATCATTATCCCTTCCCTTAGAATTAAAATGCCCATCACCTACAAAATAAGATGTTTGGAACTGGGGGATGGCTGCAGAAAGAGAAAGTCCGCTAGCGAGCTAATGAGAGAAGGGGGGTAGAAGGCGGTTTTCGCGTGCTCCCAGACACAGGAGGCATCAGAGCTGCTCAGACCACTCACTGAGTCCCTTGCCCCCACAACCTGGCCCAAACGCAGCACACCTGGGTGGGCTCATCGGGAGGCCCACCACACTGCAAGACCAGCCTGGCTCTGGCCCTCCCCTTAGAGTCTCCTCATCGAGCCAACAGCAGTTAAGTCTGGGACAGAGAACCCAGGAGACAGGGTGCTGAGAGCAGAGCTGAGAAAAGAGGCCACAGTCAGCTGGATGGTCAGTGGGGGCAGAATCTTACCTGGTCTTCACCCGGATCAGCAAGCTGAGCCCGATGACTGGAGCGGGTACTAGCCAGGACGTTCATCAACACTCGCTCTCCAGCGAGAAACTTCTCCCCTTTTCTGCTCTTCCACAGTCCTGACCGCTCCCAGGATTGCTCCTGGGTCGGGAATGTCTGCAAGAATTCTCATACAACCTTCCTTTTCGCGCTGAGAGACAAGGCCGCAGGCTTGGAGGCCTCGGGCCAGCCACAGAATCCAAATAGGATTTCTTTCTTGCTCTCAATCTCTCTCTCCCTTTTTTTACATAGTGGTAAAATACGTATAACATCACATTTATCCTCTTAGCCATCTTCAGTGCCCAGGTCAGGAATGTTAAATATATCCACCCAGTCAGCAACCACCATTACGACCCCTCTCCGCAGACAGCCCTTTCATCCTATACAATTGAAACTCTGTCCCTATTAAACACTGACTCCCCGTTTACCCCTCCCCACAGCGGGACAAGACTTTTGTGTCTGACTTATTTCACTTCGCATGATGTCCTCAAGGTTCATTCCTGTTGTAGCAGGTGTCACAACGTCCCCCATTGGAGAGCCCAATACTATTCCCTTGTAGGTATGGACCACATTTGGCTTATCCTCCATTCATGGACGCTGCATTGCTTCCATGTTTTAGCTGTTTCAAAGAATGTGGCTATGAACACGGCTGTGTGACTATCTCTTCCAGAGCCTTCTTTCAATCCTTTTGGGTTTACATCCACCCAGAAGGGGAGTTGTTGGATGACATGGTAATTCATCAATAGTTTGATTTTTTGAGGAAACTCCATACTGTTTACCACAGAGCCGTCATTTTGCATTCCCGCCAACCAAGGTTCCTTTTTCTCCACATTCTCGCCAACATTTATTTTTTTAATTTTTTGATAGTAGTCATACTAATGAGTGTGAGGTGAGATGGTATTTCATTGTAGTTTTGATTGATGTTTCCCACATAGTTAATGATGTTGAGCATCTTTTCATGTGTTTATTGGCCTTTTGTATGTCTTCCTTGGAGAAATGTCTATTCAAGTTCTTTGCCTGGTATTAAATCTCGTTGTTCTTGTTGTAGTTGGGATTTCGTAAGATTGTTTCATTGCATCTAATTTTATATTTATCTTTTATTTATGAAAATGGTACTGGTTTTCCATGTGTGGTGGTGAATAGAATTCCTCTCTAAATTAACTTAATAACTTTTTTATTAAAATGTTTTAAAGAGTAACATGAATTAAAATATGAAGTAGTCATTGTAAAGGTAGTTTGGAGACTTGGCAAAAATCACAAGGCTGGTTGCCCATAACTGAAGTCTAGAAAGATCTCATGGGCAAGGAGGAGGGGCAAGAAGGAAGGGGGAGGGGAACAGAGGAGGAAGGACAGGGGAAGGAGGAGGAAGAGCGGAGTGTTTTGATGGCAAAATCGCTCAGATGGAGGACAGTGGACACGAGCAAAGAGAGCTGTTCCTTGCTTTGGGAAGGGGAAATCTCATCATTCTTGAAAGTAGCTCTTAAAAGAATCTGTGGAAATGAATAAAACACATATGATACCTATTTTGACAACTCGAAGGTACAGAGGAACTTTGAAACTCAAAATCACTTTTCTTATAACAGGGAAAAGGGCCAACAGACAAGGAGGGTGCACCTCTCCCCATCACGGCGCTGCCTCAGGAAGTCCCAGGTCTTGCTCCCTGGGCTCTCGTGGTTTGATCCAACTGGTGGGGTGTGCAGAGGGAGGAAGGAGAACTTGAGAAAATCAGGAGTGGTCTCAGTGCCCTCCTCCTATTTCTGTTGGATTGTTTGTCCACTTCAAGATGCACTGATTGATTCCTTAGCCATGACTTCTGAAGGACACTGTGGGAAGCACTGGTTATTTTTGCCCACCCAGCATCTCCTCCCTGCCTTTTGGTCACAGCACTTTGGTTTTTCCTTGAGGACCGACCCTTCCTTTGTCTATGTGGTCAGTGGGTCTGGGACTCCAAGGTAGGCATGTGATTGAGATCTGGCCAATCCAAAGAGCCTGTCTGCTTGGCCCCCGGATCAGTTCAGGACTGGGCAAAGTTGGACAAATCAGTCAATCTCAGGACTTTTGCTAAAACACTTGAGAAAGAAATCTCTATTCACTGGGATTGTAGAGAAGAAAGGAAATGTACCTGAAGCTACTGGTAACCGCCTTGCCATCATGAAGAAAGACCCTGCCTGAGGATGGACCCAGCATGGGGGAAAGTGGAGTCAAGAACTAGAAAGACTAGATTGGTGTTCTGTTTTGAGCCCTGGATCCAACTGGGCCTGAAATCCATACTATCCCTACACTCTTCATTTGTAATAGCTCATAATTTCTTTTTGATTTAAGCTTTTTGGGGATTCTGTCCCTTTCAATGGGATAAAATTCTATCTGGAACACTACCAGTCCTCCTGGGCTTCAGTCTATGCAATGTATAAAGGAAACAGACAGTTCACATGATTTGATGGTGAGCTTATGGCGAGGGTTTTAATCATTGTTTTGCCCTTGTGACAACTCAAAAATCTGTGCTATCATTATCCCTATTTTCTAGACGAAGAAAGGTTAACAGTTATAGAGGCTCAAAAAGGTTACAGTGACCGGTTCGTGGTCTCATAGTTATTCAAGTGACAAAACCAGGATTTAAATTCAGAATCACCCAATTCCAGGGACAAGGTTCATAACCACTGGGCAGGTGCCTCTCAAACCCATACCCTGGGTCTATGATGACACTCATTTTCTTCTGTGTATCATTGACGAGTATTCACCTCTCCATCTGTCTAGCTTCCCTATTCCCGTAATCACTGATGCCAGGTCACTTGAAAGACCGTGTCCCCTCTGCAG